TGCAGTGAGGAATCCTCAAACTTTCTTCATTACTAACGCGTGCAAGTTCATCTTCTTATTTCCCTTAATTCTCTACTTTTCCGGTTGAGAGTTCCGGGATGAGGGTTCCCCTGGCCCTTTCGTTGCTTAACTTCCATAAAAACTACAATAACGACCGCGGCTAAATACTAGGTTTGTCAGCTGTTGCAACCAGGAGATCGTGGAGATTCTATTTCCGCGGCATAGGCCGCTTACATACCTTGCGATGGTGAAGAGTTGTTGGAGGACTAGATATCAGTTTCAAGAAGTAACGAAATGCAGAATCGCCGAATGGGGAAATAGATCGATACGTATGTAACACTTGGGATCTTCTTCAGTTGTCAGTTCCTCACTGTAGAAACGTGTGAACTGAGCCTTCAGCAAATTGTGATTATATTGATCACTCTTTGCAACAATCTACATAAATTTGTTAAGGGTACGGCGAGGATATGAGGTGTACAAGCAGGTCTGTGCAGCATGCCATTCGCTGAAATACATCCGCTATAGACACTTTGTCGATACCATCATGACTGAGGTTTGTGTTTCTTTCTGTTAAAATATCTCTCAAAAAACAACACATTTCTTTGTCCATGGCTTCCCGTTTGTTTAATTTATTTGCCAACAAAATGCATTCACTTTGGAAAATCTGGTGACGTGGGCGTTTACGGAGGCTACGTCGCCGCAAGCCTTTTAACTTCTGATTTAGCTCACTTCTTCGCATCCTAGTTTGTGAACCACAAATTGCTTGAAATCTGTATTTTTTTACAAAATTTACCAATTTCGTGGTTTTGTCTGCGTTCTTCTCTCCATATAGCGTTCTTCGACCCTATAAGAGTGCGCTCGTACTCTGCCTCGTCGTTTTGATCGTATGGCAGCTTTTTGAGCTCAGCTGGTGTACGCTGGTGTAAGCTGATTCGATAACTTTGTTTTATTATGCCTGCTCGAAGATCTGCTACCGTGGGGTGGCATACGCTGGCTGTGCACTACGTGGGGCACATGCAAAGAGGGCATCGCTCGCTACAAACTGGTTTCCTAAGAGCGCGTTCACGACTTCGCGATCACGGATTGCGCTATCGCTGTGTTCGGGTAGTGAGCAGATCTGAGATTGCGGCGACGAGCTCTGCTGGGTGAAACTTACACCCGGGAGGGGTCATCTTTCATGTTTATTGTTCCTGTTCTTTTTTTTTCCTTTTCCTTCTTTCTTCCTTTGTGTACATAACGCCCTCCTAATTTTAAGGAACGTTTCGAAATATCTTTGAGTTATTTATTATTTCCTATGTAAAATAGTACTAAATATACAATATGCTAATTATTATACTGAATTTTGCATCTGAGTACGTTCAAGCGGAGTATTGAACATCTTGTTCCAAAAGTAAGACACGCAGAACTTTTCAGCGCGGGGTGATCGATTTGTTCCTCCCTTCCCCCGATTTTGACCATCCTCCCAGATATACCTTTACAATTGTCACATTGTCTGTTTGCTTTGTTTGTTCTGCCATCCTCCAGGCTCTATACACAACCTTTCCTTTCGACGGTTTCTGCAAATCGTCAGGTATTGCGAATATGAACACGGCCTAAGTGCGGTCGAACTTACTTTTATATCGTTTTTGGAACTGCCTATTGGAGGCAGGATACAGCATCGTGATGTGAGAAATGGTGATATCAGTACGACTCCCTTCCCAGAACTTTGTTGTTGTTGTTTGTTGAGTTGAGTTGAACATGAACGAACATGACCCTCCCGGTGTATTTCACCACAGCTAGCGCGACGCGCGAACATCCAGATCGTGCGATCGCGAAGTCTGAACGCGCTCTAAAAAGAGAGACTCGCACTGGCGTTCGCGGTCGAACGCTGACGCAAAAGTAATAAACTTGCCTCAGCTCTGTTATCCAGGTTTCTTGCTCACCCTATTCAGTTGGAAAAGTGTAGCAATTGCTGCACAATTATATTCCTTCGCGTCCTTCGTTTACTCACGTGTCCTTACCTGTGGCTTTGTACTCTGTGGCGAAAAAAAAGTCCAACACAGCACTATACAATTTTTCCTACTAATTGAGTTGAATTTCGTTTGGAAGTTTATGAGATGCAAGCTTTGTTCCTTTTGACCTGAAAAATTCCAGGAAGAGGCAAAGGCTGAAGCTGCCGAGGCACTTATCGATGACGTTGATGATAAGGGTCGTCCTATTCAACGACCTGGCATTCTCACGGATGCGCTGCCAAACCCATATCCCAACGTGAAGGCTGCCGCTGCAGCGAATAACGGTCAGTTTTACAATACTTTCTATACGCTGGAGCCTCAGAGCCTGTCTCTGCTTAGCTTCAGAGTTTACTGTTAGAACACATCGCTCTTGTCCTAGTGCCTTCTTTGTTTGCCTGACTAGAATGCAGCTTCTATTTTTAGGAGCTGCTCCGCCGGATTTGTCATTAATGTCTCTGGCTAGACACGGAGGTGATGACTACATCTTCGCTCTGCTAACGGGATACTTTGATGCTCCAGCAGGTATCAAGGTAAGCCTCTGCTATTCTTGCTACTCACACAAATAAATATTGTCATTGTTTGATTTTATATTTGAGTCCTTCGTTGTGTTAGTCGGCACAGTTCCATTTTTTGTTTCAGGTTGATGACGGAAAAGCATATAATCCATACTTCCCAGGTGGAGTCATTTCTATGCCTCAACAGCTCTACGATGAAGGAATTGAGTACAAGGTAAATGAGTTTTAGCAATTCTACACCATAGCAAAAAAAGGTGTGATCAGCGTTTCAACTGCAGTCTTCTTTGAGATATATTGGTCGCTCTGTCGATTTCCAGAGGGGATTTGTAGTCAGGAAGTCTATTAAAGGCACGCTCGCATTCATTCGGTGTTCAGGCGCCTTATTTGGGTATGTCACTCCTGCCTGCAAGCATGCAGGACACACTATTTTCGAAACTCAAAAATAATAGATGAGAAAAGCGCTGCTCGTGGCGGATCATGGCCCCGCCCATTGGCGGCGGCGACGCCCAGCTTTCACTTGTGCGTGCTACCTGATGGTACGGTTGTTTCGCTACTAGTTCTTACTTTCAAGTGGTGAGATGACAAAGGAGAGAAAGAGCTGGCACCAACAAAACGGTAATCGTTCGACCCTGCCCATTCTTCGTCCGTCGCACGGTTCAGCATATGGGTTCGGGTCTTATAATTGGCTCGGTTTCAGTCCTTTTAGTGCTTTTCTTCACTCTGGTATTATTTATCCTCTTGTCGTTAATATTTGAGCCGCACAAATCACCAATTTTCAACGGCCTTTATGTCCGACAACAGTGGAGGTTTCGCTTTAGATCCCATATATTGCTAAACTGAACTGTTTTCAAATAGAAGTTTCTTTCTACTTCTCGCTCTACTTCGAAGGCGAAGGGTAGCTGAGGCGTCTGTTATTACTGCGTGACTTGTCCTATCATTACCTAAGCTTTTTAACCGGAATTTTCGATTGTGGTTTAACAATTATTCAATTTCGTTCAAAAAATTTTTATATTACAGGATGGAACGCCGGCTACACAGTCGCAGCAAGCCAAAGACGTAGCTACATTTATGCATTGGTGTGCAGAGCCATACCACGACATCAGAAAGCGATGGGGATTGAAGGTGAGATATCCTGTTTCGGTTCAGCTATCGACACTCATCTCAGTGACAAAATTTTTCTTCTTGCATGTCGCACTTCTTACAGAGAAGTCTGTGGGGCTTTTCAGAAAAAAAAGCGATAATGTAGCTTACTCGCTGTTATGTAGTAGACAGTTTTTCAGAAGTCTTGGTAGAAAATAAGTATGTTTTGGCAAAGCTAAACCAGTGCAATGACTTAGTAAGAAAAAAAAACCCGGATGTGATCCTCCGTAGGGTATTTCTTCTCGCCATAGCGTTCACCTCTATGTCTGTGTCTTACGTTTGTTCGTGGAGTAATCTTTGACTTATAACTTCTGGTTCTCAGACGATGCATTGATCATCTCACAGAATGCGTGCGCTTACGTTTTTCTTGCGTGGGTGGTATGAAGCTATCCTTTCTTACCATTTGTGATTTAGTTGGACATAGCGGCAGAACTTTGTCTGGGTAGATTAGTACTTTCTCTGTCTAGAAGCTGTGGAAGACTAAACCACTTTATTGTTGGGATTTTTCTGCTTTTAACTCATTGCTGATCAATGTTAGCACACCACAGGGAAAGGTACTAGACGATGGGAAATCACAGAGCACTGCGCGGTGTGCAGGGAAAGAGTCAGATAGATAAGCGATCATCGAAAGTAGCATTTTCTCTTTGGATGTGACGCGAAACTCCGTTAAATCCCGTACTATGCCGTAATCGTGAACTGTTTCTCAGAAAAGAATTGCCGTGGAAGTGTTTGAGGGTTTTCTTCGCATACGAAAATCTTTCACGTTTAGTTGCTCGTATATCTGCCTTAGGCGACGGTGGTGTTCACCACGCGCTCAGTCCGTTGCTCAAAAGCTGGATCGACTCCCGCGGGGGCCAGGCAAGCCTTCTTCCTGCTGGGCACGGAGAAATTGATTCGTCTGGGAGGACAAAAACCACTGACTTGTGCATCATTTGCTCACCGCCCCTGTATAAGCTACGTCACACTCAGTATGCCTACACAATTCTGAAGGGAAGTGCTACATCCCATAAAGGGTCGATCAACCAAAAGCTTTGTCATTCTAAGGCTTATATCTGCCCTCGAAAAACTTAGCAAGGTTCATCTTAGTTCATATAGTCTTACAGCAATGTTCGACATTCTCACTCTCGGTATTTAATAAACTTGGTAGTTTCCGAGAATGAAGAAAGCCCTCAACAGGCCACACGTGGTGAACTTCCTCTTCTCGCCGTATAGCGTGAATGTAGCTATTCTTGCGGGCAATTTCGGTTCATGAAACTAATAGGGCTACTTTTCAAGATCGTTTATTTATTCTTGGCTCATTCTGCGATGATTCACCGTGTGATGTATCACCGTCTGTTATTATACGGTAATTCCATCTCTATAGAGATCTCCCATTGAGCTCTCATGACTGCAGGGTGATGAAATTACAGCAGTCGTGTGGTTCCTTGTCTTCAACAGCTTTGAGATGGTTGAAGTGCTAATCTTCCCTGGCAAAGTGTTGCCGTCAAGCTTCCGATAATGTAAAAAACGACTGCAAATATTTGCAAGAGCAGACATTCTGTGAACAACAGTTTCATCATCTCATATTGAAACTTTTTGTCTTCTATTTTATATTCCCATTGTTGATTGTTGATTGATTGTTACTCTGTGGAGTGGTCTCATTTTATGCTATTTTAGATCCTCGCTCTAGCGCCGTTCATTACGGTGGTGTTGATCTACGGTAAACGATACGTCTGGACATTCACGAAATCACAGAAATTCCTGTGGAAGGCTGTGAAAGGACGTGAGCCGCCAAAGAGCCAATGATCACGATTTGGTGATCATTGTCCTTGTTGTCTCAATAGAGTTTTAGTGGTCAGATCATACTTTTTGTTTTGATGGTTGATAAGATATGCACGTTCAGTGCGTATTCTCATATCGATCATAGAAGCTTGGCGGACTGTTTTTTGTTTTCTGGAAAACTTGGCTCTATGTTAGGATTTTCTTATTTTCATCCGTCATCGTCGTGCGTTAATAGTAAATAGAATCAAGAATAAAACATTATATATGAACGGAAATCAGCTGGTATCTCGTTCAACTACATCGAATTCATCATACCATTGCGAATATACTCGTTTTTTGAGGGAGAAGCGGGTAACTCTTCTTAATATTTTGAAAAATCACTAATTGAAAGTATCCAAGCTACTTTCCAGCTTTTCTCTTCTTGCAACCTTAGCATGTAAATTGTGAGTGTTTCATTGTCTGTGCCAGCCGACGATTCAGTTGAAATGTCAGTCCAAAATAAATAAGAACATTGGGGGTGCGCCACGGGGTTGGCTTGTGCTAAGAGCTTGTGATTTGTGCTTTAGTGAATAAGGTCAATATTCGTTGCCCATCAAGGAAAAATAGTCGATGGTCATTATCTGTTGCATTCGTGGGGATGTGTGCATTGGGAAAACGTCACGGCCGATCTGCAACATTTGCGTGATGGTGAAAGTGCACCCGGCAGGCAAGAGTAGACCACATTTGTATACTGCCTTACGGTTCCATAGAGTCCGAATTCGTGATGAGGACGATCTTGGTATGAATTGAGGGTGTTGGCAATAGTACATTAGCACGGAGAACCCTCAGGACGTTTTGGATACAGGTCGTCAGTCTAAAAATGAAATGACTGTCTCACGAAAAGGCGGCAGGTAAGCGGGTGATGAGGCTTTATATTATAAGGCCTTCCAATAGTGACCCTGGATGAGGAATACTCCAAAGAGGCCTAGTGCCGGCTTGGTGCTCTCGAAGATCTGATTGTGTTGCGGTGAGTGACCCTTCTTGCGAATATTTTTACGATTACGTGATGAGCTGCATTGATTTCGAATTTCCGCAGGGTAGCAGAGACGTTTGTTCGAGAAGTATATAAAGTGCTTCGTCTATTTTAGGCTCTGACGAAGGCGGCAGTGCCGAAAGGTAAGCCGCACGCGTAGCGCCGTAGCGTAAGCGAACGAAAGCCCAATAATGCTGAATTATTATCCGCGTGAGAAGTTGAAGCAAGGCAACTGACACAGTGCCGAGATTTCCAGAAAGCCGTACATGGCGACTAGTACGCAACGAGCCAGTTCACTCCGTTACTGAAAGCGATTTGCATATTCTAAGTTTCAGTGGTCCCCCTCCCCCTGCTATTAAACCAAACAAGCCACAAGCGCATGTGTTTTACTGAGAGCATGTTTTTTTTGCACGATGTTTGCACCAGCACAACCCTTTCTACAGCATTCTTTGCAAACACGAAATATAAATTCGCAGGGCGCACGTTGCTCGCGAGAATCTACCACTTTTTGCGTGCCATGTGTTCACTACAGAACTGCCAGCAAAACTGGTCTACGGACAACTTCCCTGACTTAAGAAAGCTCCTCCCACGGCGCCCTAGCGGGCAGCCTTGCACAAGAACACCTGACCAGGGAAGTTGGCATGTCGAAGTGGGTGGTGCAAGTATGCTCCCCTGGAAAGCCTCATCATTTCCTTGAGAGGTCAACGACACGTCGAGCCGCGCCGTTCCCATGCTATTTTCTTGCCATTGAAAAGACAAGTAGCTACTAAAAAACCTTAATTGACTTCTGTAGGAGTAACCTAGTTATTTGGATTGTTTGCCGTTTCGATGCCGCAATGAGTCCTTCAAAGGAACCTTTATTAAATAGAAAAATGTGTGAGTTCGTGTGTAGCGCTCTTCGCTTGCAATGGATGAAATACAACCAGCTCACTGAGATTCGGCCCTTCGTCTACTCGAGAACGTATTAAAGGGGTTACAGCTTGCCACTCGCAGCAAGAGTGACCAGTCACGAAAACGAGTCTTCTGGATACCTAGCAGTTCCACGTCTAGTTACGGCTGCATAAGGTATCGCAACGCTTGAAGTTCTATACACTTTGATTTGAACGGTACCGTCTCAGGTGCGCCACCACGTTCTTGCCGACACACAACAGCGTCCACTGATTGGGGCGTAAATCTTATGTTAAACGTTACACTGGTCAGACTAGAAATGCTATTATATCATTTTGCCACTAGGAATGATCACAACCCTACACTCTAGTTCACTGCGGACGGTTGGGCGTGTCAGCCAGCGTGAGCGTGTCACCCCGTTAGAGCCGTTCTCTGCGGCTAATGCCGTTTGGACTCCAGAAATTTCGTCTTCGAGCTCATTTTCAAATTGCCTAAGTCACCAAATCCACTAAAAACTTGTATATAGGGGTAATTCAACATCCTGATTACGAGTATGACACTCATTCTTGGCGCTGGCGCCAAGAGAGGACACTACGATTACCTCCTGGGCTCAGCCTTAGCAGAGCGCAGGTAACCGTAGTGTCATCCATTAGCGCCAGCGCCAAAAATGAATGTCATATTCGTGATCAGGATGTTGAATTACCCCTATATACAAGTTTTTAGCGGATTTGGTGATCTTGCCACTTTTAAAATGAGCTCGAAGACGAAATTTCTGGAGTCCAAACGGCATTAGCCGTTCCCTGTCTTCTTGTTGCAACGCGCATGCGACAAAAAGTGGTGGAAAACGAGTAATACGAACGGTAATGAATACAGTTATCAAACTTGCCTGGCTTCAACAACTGGTGGAGAACTTGAGCTTGGCATCGACGCCAAACGCAACCGCACTACACGTCCCAGCCGTCGCATGACGAACTATTAGGTTGTCCGGAAAGTTCTCAGCGTTTTGTGCACCTATTTTTTGTACATTCACTGCTGATTAAAAACTCATTCTGCCTTGCTTCTCAGTAGCATATCCTGTAGAGAATTTCTTGCGCTATCTGATGGTATAATTGCCGTTTCACCATTGCTTGATGAACCCCCTTTTTCAAGATTTTTTCAAGCATGTGAAAAGAGCACTTCGGACGATTTTTTTCTTCGACTATAAATTGGGGCAATCCGCAATCGAAACAGCTCAACAAATTAACCAGGTGGGGGCCCAATAGTGCTAGAGAAAGCACTGTGCGGCAATGGTTCAACAAATTTCGTTCTGGAGATTTCAGCCTTGAAGGTGAACCTCATAGCGATCGACCTAAAGCAATTCTGACGAGGATTTTGAGGGGATTTCGGAGGCTGATCTATCCCAAACAGTTCGAGAGATAGCAGAAGAGCTAGGCCTTGGCAAATCCACTGTTGCAGATGGTCTGGAACGCATTGGGAAGGTGAAAAAACTCGACAATTGGGTGCCACAATCGGAGTGACCGGCAGGAATCGGCACGTCTCGAGGTTCCTCTTGCATTGCTTTTGCGCAGCAGAAACGACCTGTTTTTGGGCCGAATTGTCACCTGTGATGAAAAATGGGTCATATGATAACAGGAGACGTTCCGGACAGTGGTTGGATTTCGACGAACCACCGAGGTAATTTTCAAAGCCGAACCCTCACGAAAAAAAGATTCTGGTCACGGCTTGGTGGTCATCGGCTGGTGTGATCCACTATAACTTTTTATCACCAGGCCAAACCATCACAGCAGAACCCTACTTGAAGATATCGACGAATTGTACCGAAAATTTTGTCAGATGCAGCCAACACTTATCAAAAGAAAGGGTCCGATTCTTTTGCATGACAACGCCCACACGTTTCACAAATCACTATCCATAAATTGAACGAATTGGGGGTTGAAGTTCTACCTCAACCGCCATATTCTCCAGACCTTTCACCCGCACACGCCGACTATCACCTTTTCAAACATTTTCAGAACTTCCTTGCTGAAAAATACTTCATCAATTAGGACCAGGCAAAAAAGACCTTCGTAGATTTCGTGATTCTCGACCACCGCACAGTTTTTTATTTTGATGGGATTTCTCGACTGCTATCACATTGGCAAAAGTGTGCTGATTCGAATGGTGCCTATTTCGATTAAATCCGATGAGTATTAAAAAAGTTACGATCGTTTAAAGTGAAACACCCAAAACGCTGAGAACTTTCCGGACAACCTAATACATACACTATAACTTTCGTGCATCCCAATGCATTACTTTGGTGCGTTGGGTTATAACAAAATGTTTAAACGCTCGAGGGTATATTCATAGTAGACGATACAACTGCACCTTAGTGCTGGTCTATAAGCCATCCACAATAATGAAGCTGTAAAACATCTTCCCTCCGTCAACTGTCGTAACCCGTATGGACAGAAGTAGGTGCTCGAATCGGTGAAGAATCGAGTCCTTCATGTATTCACTGAGCTTTCCAAAACCTACAGCGAAGTCCAGAATGTAATGATTCGACCGTCAAGAATCATTTAACATAGATCTCGAGCCTCAGTGGGCGCTGTTCGGCCAAGGAAAGCGGCGATCGCTTGCTAGTTCCAATCAATTCATAGGTAAACTACCAGATCTCACTAAAGAGTGAGATCCTTGAACTCACGTAAGTTTCCGCAAAAATGGCCACTTTACTTACAGGATCTTTACAGGCCTTCACAAAGTGGCCTGTACAAGCTTCTCTGAGTATCATTTGATACTTTCACTAAGCCGGACCCCTCATCTCCGTAATCACAACAAGTCTAACTCCCTCATCATTTCCCGTTCATCCTCGCAGCATCGTTAACTACGATATAATGGAAAACGCAGCCATTTGCGCATTAAATACACGTATCAGAGTTATGTGGAGGAGGAGACAGGTATTCAATAAAAAGACGGCAGTAACGTCGCGGGCACGGGGTATCCGGGAGTTGGTCGGACAATGCCGTGACGTTGAGTAGTCCGCCCAGGTCCATCTGATTACTGTTGAAAAGTTAATCTTGACAAATGAGAGTTGATACCTGCCGTTTCCTGCAACATGCGCCTTTAGCCGCTTCATATTAGGTTGTCC